TCCTCTTCCATACAAATACCTGGAACGCTAGCTTTTTCATCCATTTGTATAAATTATTTCACGCGCAAATTACTGTCTCTGCTACCATCTTGTCTCGGTTGTCACCTGTAGTCGGTATCGGTCGCTTTCTCCGCCACATTCTTAACTAGCTCAGTGATAACTAAGAGAAGTCTACCGATTAAAAAACGTAGAGGGCTCTGGTGACTTATTTATCTAACTCAGCCAGCTAAAGAAGTCCAGGATTTTAAAATCCGTTTCGCTTGTTTTGGTTGCACGGTGGACCTATAAGTGGATGCCATCGCTTTGTGAATCGAGCCGTTGTTCGCGTGCCAGTTTTCTTTGGCTACTGATAAGCCGTATTTATGATACCACCCCACGAAGTTCGTGGTTGTGGCTGTAAACCAAAACTGGCCCGCGTATTTAGTCTTGCAATAAAAGCAGATCGGTGGACGCCGTTTTTGCGTCACTCACAGTTTCCTCTGCCTCTGCGCGCAGGTTTCCAAATAGGCGAGAGGATAGTTAGTCGTTCCACTTACCGAATGGTGACTGCAGCCGAAGCGCTTTCATGTGACATTTTTCTCCAAAGAGAGCACAATTTTTGACCATTTAAGGTGCAGCGTTCACTAAATGGGGGGCTATTTTCAAACAGGGGTAAAAAGGTGGACAGAAAATCTTCCGTGACCCATTTACCGTTTTTGTCTGGCTTGCTCACTTTGCCTGACCACTTGATCTCCCCTCTTTCTCTCTCTCCCTAAAGATGAATCCTTGCGCAACATCCGAGCTGTGGACTGCCTCCAGGCGACCTTCCTTCGGGCGCGGTCAGCCCTGCTCTGTACTGCGCTGCTCGAATGCGTAAAGGAGATCTTTGAACGCTCACCAGGCAATTACTTTGTGCTCGACAAACACCACCTCATCAGCTCCATCACCGAGACGATCCCCTCAAAACCTGACTGTGTCCAGGTAAGCAGCAGTAGCAGATAAATTATTCAAGTGGTGCAACCGAGCAGCAACGTAGTAGACGAAGTGGCCTTATCTTCTGCGCCTAACCTGTTCTTTTACCTATTGCATCGTTTTTAATTTTGTCCCCAAAGGCAATGCATATTACATATACTGAATTAGATCGCGGGAGCATAAGCCTTAATAAAACAATTACTGCGATGGTTTTGGTGTTTGGGCAGAAAGAACGGGCTGTTCGCACTTTCTAGCAGGGGCCTTTCGCAAAGGCAACATGTCCTGTGTGTAGTGAAGTAAAACAATGTGCTATAGCTTCACTTCAACTCAGTTAAGGATGCAGCCTTCTGCATTCACGCCGATGCAAATAACTGGTTCGCCTTGTGTAGATCAGGCGCGTGCGTGGCACGCGTAGACAAACTGTCAGTCGCTGCAACTAATCCCGCTTCCGGTCTTTCTGACTATGTTTTGCCGTCGGGGCCAGGTGTGTGAGAGCGGTAGATGCTGCGAAGTATATTACCCCCACAACCTAGTTGACGCGCAAGTTACCATCCCTGCATCCATCCTTCGCGATGGTCAAACTGTCCTGTAGTATACCGGTGGCTAGAGAAAGATTAGAAGTCAAATTTCGACCATAGGCCACTTAGGGAAGCCCTTGAAGTGTTAAAAGCCCCCTCCGTGTTGTTATTCTAGAGTTTCTGCAACTAATATGCATGCATCACACTGATGGATGTGCGATTCTTAGACATATATTCCCTCTGTTGTGCGATTTGGTTAAATGACTAAACATAGTTACTCTTCAAGTTTATCGGATAGAGGTTCGCATTTGACTATCGATCGCGAAAATGCTTCTTTCGGCGGTATGTTCGTCATATCCAATTCTTTGAATTGCCGCGTTTCTCCCCGACGACGTTAACTAACTACTTCGAAAATAATACATTTGAAGGTGCGTGGGAAAATGTGTAAATCAGGGAGCCGGATTTTACCAAGGCAAAGTTAGGTTCACCACCTGCTCCAGCTGTTTACATAGGTCTGATTTTAACCGCCATATATAGGCTGCCCCAAGATAGCGCAATGTACAAGTTGTTCGTGCCCGAACAAGTACTCAGAAAGATGTCAATAGTTGGAGCACTCGGTGACCCTAACATTTTAAGGTATGGTCAGCTGACTTGTCAGATTGGTAACAGCGTACTCTATAAAGTCGCAGCAAAATAAAACGTGGTACGTTTACACGGTGGCATCCTAGGGTCTTATTAACCTACTTACAAAACTAAGTCACACTCATATATGGCTATACGGCCAAGGTTCAGGACTTTGTATTTTCTTCTCGATCGTTGCCGCTGCATGTAGGTTATCAGACCCGAATCCATGGAAGCCCTCGCCGCCAGCATTAGTTGTTCTCACGTCTATATGAACTCCAAGTATGCTTTCCGTTAATATGGTGCAATAGAGAGTTAAACTCACATGTTAAAGCCAATGATTATATTCAGTGGCCGCATATGCGGGAGGCAAGAGAAGTGAGGAGTTGATGGAATCCTTAGCCTCTGGTGGGAACTCAGCCAATCGACGTATTCGTCTTGCGCCCGCGTACAGAGCCCTACACAGTCAGTTTCAGACCTGCGACGCTGGTCGCTGCCGCTCTTTCCGTTGCTGAGCCTGCACCCCCTGTATGCTGTCAAAGGCTCGGTTCCGGTCTTCGAGCAGCCTCTCTCTTTGTCACTCGCACTTTTACCTGGGTTTCCTACATTCCCCCTCCCTTTGAGATAGTCACCGAAATTTG